TAATTTAGTTTGATATGCAGCACGTCTATTCTCCTTCTCCGTAAAGGGGTGAATAACCACCCTCTCCTCCTCAGGCTACAAACATCCCCTTTGTCATATATTCTTTAACATTCCTGACTCCACTTGCATACATTCCATTCCACTGATATCTTATTTTGGTGCCAGAAGCACTCTTTCACGTATGTAGATTTATTAGCTTGTTTATGTAGACTGTCTAATGATGCAACGCTCCTTAGTTATCCATTTCCAAATGTGTCTTGTCTGTTAGACAGTTTTGTCCAATTAGATAAACTTGAGGATCATTTGGCTGATTACTTTTTTTTAAATTTTTAATGTTTATTTATATCTGAGAGAGAGAGATAGAGCACAAGCAACAGAAGGGCAAAGAGAGGGGAAGACAGAACAGAAGCACAGAGCCGGATGTGAGGCTCGAACTCACGAGCCATGAGATCATGACCTGAGCCAAAGTCAGATGCTTAACCGACTGAACTACCCAGCACCCTTTGGCCAATTACTTATAAAGATATAGTTTTGAGTGGGATTATACTACATTCATATATTTAGGAACGTCTGGTCTTGTTTTACTTATTATAGTTCTTTTACTTAGTGGTCTTGTACATTACATATTGTTTTTATCTATCTGATTTTGTTGTTTTTCTGAGGTAACTGTGAATGGGATATTTTTTCCCCGAATGAATTTTCTGATCAATGGTTGGTATGTAGGAGAGAAAATTACTTTAAAAAATAATAATTTTTTAAATAATTAAAATAATTATGTAAATATTATTTAAATAATAATCAATTAAAAAAACCTGACCACCTTACTGATTTTTAAAATAATTTCCTTTAGGACTTTTAGGTAGATAATCATATTAGCTGTGAAATAGGGATGATATTATAACTTCCTTGTTCATAGTCCTTATTTGTTTTTCCTACCTTGCTGCTTTGGCTAGAATTTCCACAGTGGTGTTAAGTAACAGTGCTTCCTGATTTTAACAGGACATGCTCCCCCAGCCTTTCAAAGGCTCCAAAGCACAGACTGATTAACAGGCCCTTCATTGTCCTCTGAGATGGTCTAAAGTTGATAAAAGCTCTTAAGAATTTTAGTAAGACTCTCCAAGAACGGATGACAATCTAAAAACTAAATCATTGGACACAAGCCTGAAAAAAATAAAAACAGGAGGCTTTTTCAGAATTCTTGTGGTCTTTAGGGGATAAGAAAGTTAACATTTTGGGGCACCCAGGTGGTTCAGTCAGTTAAGCGTCAGACTTTGGCTCAGGGTCATGATTTCATGGGTTCGAGCCCTACTTTGGGCTCTGTGCGGACAGCTCAGAGCCTGGAGCCTGCTTTGGATTCTGTGTCTCCCTCTCTCTCTGCTCCTCTCCTCCATGTGCTCTGTCTCTCAAAAATAAATAAACATTTTTTAAAAATTTAAGAAAATTAACATTTTTAGGCTTATACCTGTTTGATGTTCTTCTCTAGGTGTTTCCTATGATTTATTTACCACGACAGCAATAGGAGGTAGATATTTTTATAGTTCTTATTTTACAGCTTAAAAAATATCTGAGCTCAGAGCACCTCCATAACTTATGATCACACAGAGAGCAAATGGGGACTTGACCCCAGGTGTTCCTGACTCAAAGAAACCTAGGCTCTCTATAGCCTCACCTGCCCCTCAGCATCTGCCCACTGGATGGGGACCTTTGGTGTGATGGCGGACATCTTCCTCTGTTACGGCATCATCTCCTCACTGTGGGTGTCTCCTGTACTTGGAAGTCATGACCCCCACTGTGTTAGTGCTGCAGCCTGTGGTCTGTCTGTGGCAGCCAAAGCCAGAGACACCCAAGCTAATCATTTGCAGTGCTTCTCGGACTTATCTGAAAGTTGTTGTTGTTTTTTTTTTTAAGATTTATTTAGTTTTGAGAAAAACAAGTGCAAGCAGGGAAGGGGCAGAGAGAGAAGGGGACAGAAGATCCAAAGCAGGCTTTGCATTGACAGCAGAGAGCCTGACATGGGGCTTGAACTCACAAGCTGTGAGATCATGACCTGAGCCCAAGTCAAGACGCTCAACCAATGAGCCACCCAGGTGCCCCTGAATGCTTTCAGAAGTAAAGGTCAACAAGCTCTTGTCAGATGGGTGAAAAAGGATACTGCTAATTTAAGATCCATTTTATAGGGACGCCTGGGCAGCTCAGTTGGTTAAACATCTGACTCTTGATTTTGGCTCAGGTGAGATCAAACCCGCATCGGGCTCTGCACTGGCAGTGTGGAGCCTGCTGGGGATTCTCTCTCTCTCTCTTTCTCTCTCCCTGCCCCTCCACCACATGCGTACACGTGATCCTCTCTATCAAAATAAATAAACATTTTTTAAAGAAGATCCACTTTATAATAAAACTTCGCTGAAGTGGATATCTGCTGTGCTTACTAATGAAGAGTGCTGATCCTAGACAGTAGGGGGAGTTTGGTTAAAGCCAGGAACATCTGGTAGAAGACCGTATGCTGAATGATGTGTGTGTGTGTGTGTAAGTGCTTTGTCTCTTTCTCTCTAAAAAACAAAAAACAAAAAAACCAGAGTTCAGAGGAACAAGGAGGACACAGCAAGAGAGACAAAGAAGGCATGGACGGTGAGGTATGAGCAAAGCCAGGAGAGCTGGTATCCCGGAAACCAAGCAAAGACGGTATTCCACGGGCCGAGGAGTGAGGTGAGGATTACCTGAACTGACATGTTCAAGAGCATCTAGAACACCTACCCAGTGTGTATATTAATATACATCTAGAGGTATATATTAACTCTTCCCCCTCCCCAGTGACTGTTATTTTTCAAGTTCTCAGGCCTTTTCCAAAATGTCTAATATCTTGTCCAAGGTAGTAAAATATGACTTAAGAAGAGCAGTATCTCTTCCATTTATTTTTTTCTTTTTATTAACATTTATTTATTTTTGAGGGACAGAGAGAGACAAAGCACAAGCAGAGGAGGGACAGAGAGAAAGGAAGACACAGAATTCAAACAGGCTCTAGGCTCTGAGCTATCAGCACAGAGCCTGACACAGGGCTCAGACTAGCGAACTGCGAGATCATGACCCGAGCTGAAGTCAGACACTTAACTGACTGAGCCATCCAGATGCCCTGTATCTCTTCCATTTAAACAGAAATGCTTCTCTTTCCACAAATCTCCACTCTGTAGTCCATTACCCAAGGCTCTAGAAAACTTACAATGATTGGTATCCAATAGTGTAGTTTTAACCAGACATTTCAGCCTTCATTAAAAGCTTCAGTTATACGAAATGAGGAGTCTGAATTTCTATCAATAAGTTTGGACCTCAGCCAAAGTATATAACCTAATGGGAACCCCAGATTATATTAATCCATTTACTTACTGGCCAATGGAGAGATATCAGAGGTCAGATTATCTTTTTAAAAAAATTTTTTAAATGTTTATTTTTGAGAGAGAGACAGAGCATGCGTGTACATGAATGGCGGGGGCAGGGGGGTGGTATGCAGAGACAGAGGGAGACACAGAATCCAAAGCAGGCTCCAGGCTCTGAGCTGTCAGCACAGAGCCCCAGGGCTGGAACCCACAGACTGCAAAATCATGACTTGAGCCGAAGTCGGACACTTAACTGACTGAACCACCCAGGCGCCCCTCAGATTACCTTTCACAAAGATGACAGGTAGGTGATAGAGGCAGAGACAGATGATAGATGGATAAATTCCTGGCAAATTATGGACAACCAGGAATCAGGGAGAGTTCTGCTGGGCACTTAATTCTTCCTACCTTGGAGATGCCAAGAAATGCTCACTTCCCATAATCCAAAGACAACGTCCATTAGTTTAATCTAAATTTACATGAAGAAAGCTGATTTTTTTTTACAAGAGTAACATTTTTATTTCAAATCACATGTTGTTTATGATTGAGTAGGTAATAGACACAATCATATGGTTCAAAACCTAATACTGGGAGAAGATCTGCAATAAAAAGTCTGATCTCACTGCATACCCCCCGCACGTCTCTTCCCCACCAAGAACTGTGAAGGGTCTAAGGTCTTACCCTACCTGCAAACCAACAAACAAGCCTGCCACTCCCTCGTGGACACCCGCAGAAGGCACGTGCCAGTTAGGTAAAGGACAATGGATTTATCACTCGCGGTGCAGCAGACCCGTGAGCTTGGGGATCGTGTGGCTTCTCCCTGTCCCCGAGCAGCACAGGGACCATGTGGAGTGGCCCCAGAGCCCACTGCACACACAGCAGGGCTGTCTCACAGGCGAGGGATCTGAGTTCGGGAACCTCCGATCATTCATCCTGGGCTGACAACAAACCTGCCCAGTCTTTGCCCAGGAGGGAAACATTACTTCAATTTCACAGGACAACAATCAAAACTCTTTGTCTGCCCCGGAGAGGGACGCTCTCTTTATCTTCTGAGACTGTTTCTACAAAATGTCCTGGAGAAGGTAATCTGCAACAAACACCTCTGGGCCTCAGCTCAGAAGACACACAGAAAATTGCCCCCAACACCCTCACTCAACCATGTGGGTAACTGCTTTCCCGAGTTTCCCGAGTTATCTTCCCAGGGCAGCCACACGTAAGTGTAAGCAAGTACGTATTTTCCAATCTTCCCTTGTTGGTTGCATAAAAGCAGAACACTACATTCATCATCATGCACCTTGCATTTTCCACTTAACAATGGAAGTTTTTCTTTGTTTCCGCTGCAGAGAATCCACTGTGTGGCTGTACCAGTTTACTTAGCCAGTCTCCTATAAACAAATACGCTTTGCTCTTTCAAACAATGCTGCCGTTGATGAGCTTATGCAGAAAGTTTGTGGTTTTGTTTTTTTTTTAATCCCATCACATTCTAACTTTATGGTCAACTAGAATTACAGGTTAGCATGTGATGGGATTTTAATGTGGTCTGAGACCAGTCCAGAACACTGGGCTAGGTCCCAGGCAAGACACAGAATGTGAACATTGCCCAAATCAAATGTAGCGGAGAAGAAAACCTACCTGGCAAAGAAGAGTTGAAGGAGTCAGAGGTATCCATCCACCTAGGAGAGAAGACATTTTGGGTAGGAAAGAGAGCAAGATACTGGTGTATAGATGAGAATCCGAACGTGACTCACAGTGGTGGCCTCCAGAACCCGCAGGAGGTCATTCCGAGGGGCAAATTCAAACACCACATAAGAAGGAGCCTGAGGCTGGGCTCCTGGGTGGCTCAGTCGGTTAAGCATCTGACTTTGGCTCAGGTCATGATCTCACAGTTTGTGAGTTCAAGCCCCGCATCGGATTCTGTGCTGACAGCTCAGAGCCTGGAGCCTGTTTCAGATTCTGTGTCTCCCTCTCTCTCTGACCCTCCCCTGCTCTCGCTGTCTCTCTGTCTCTCAGAAATAAATAAAACACTTAAAAAATTTTTTTTTAAAAGAAGAAGGTTGAGGGGCACCCAGGTGGCTCAGTAGGTTAAGCGTCCAACTTTAGCTCAGGTCATGATCTCACGGTCCATGAGTTCGAGCCCTGCTTCAGGCTCTGTGCTGACAGCTCAGAGTCTGGAGGCTGCTTTGGATTCTGTGTCTCCCTCTCTCTCTGCCCCTCCTCTGCTCACACTCTGTCTCTCTCAAAAAATAAATAAACATGAAAAAAAAAAGAAAGAAAGAGCTTGAGTGGGATTATCCAAAATGAAATGTGAGGTGCTGAGCAAACTGTAACTCGAGGCATCCAAGCAGCAGGTGGGTGGCTGCCTGGCAGGGACATTGTGGGAAGGGATTTCCACAATGACAGGTCTGACTACAGCAAGTGTTCTCAGTCCTGGCTGCTCATGGAAAACGTTGGGGAGCTTTTGCGATCCCAATGCCAGGCTGGACCCCTGAATAGTTCCATCAGAATCTCTGCAGGTAGGATCCAGGCGACAGTGATTCCTTTTTTTATTTTTTTATTTTTTTTAGTAGGCTTCACGCTCAGTGTGGAGCCCAAGACAGGACTTGAACTCGAGGACCCTGAGATCAAGACCTGAGCTGAGATCAAGAGTCAGATGCTTAACTGACTGAGCCACCCAGATGCCCCTAGGCCACCCTGATTCTTAAAGCTCCCCTATCCTTGGATTAGACGACATGAAATCTCTCCTAAATTTTATGAATCTGTTTTCTGTCTCTGAGTTACATACCCTCCAACCTCCTCAAGCTTAGATGAGCAGAAAAATAAAGACTGCCAACACTGTGACACAGCAACCTTGAGAGCTCATTCCATTTTAGTCTGTATTAATAGATCATCCAGGAGAAAGGAAATCCATGGGCCTGATTCTCCATCTACCATTCTACCCAGCTGCCCCTTCATTTATTCATTCAATTACCTATCTGACTAGCTACTCAAATTGCTTTCCGCTATACAGGGAAGCCAGACCTCCCCAACGTTTCACTTTTTTTTTTTTTTTTTTAAACAAGGAACCTGGAATAGAAAAAATAACGATCTGGTGCAGCACTACCCAACAGAACTTTTCCGCAACGATGGAAATGTTCTGTGTCTGTGTTGTCCAATGAGGCACCACTCACCAAATGGCTTTTGAGCGCTTGAAATGTGGCTGAGCTTTTCACTGCATTTAAATTTAGTGAATTTACATTGAAGTAGTCACATGTGGTAAGTCGTCACCATAGTGGACAGTGTGGAACTAGTGACGGGTCCCTGTGCCCGTATAATGCCTGATGAGTAATAGCTGCTTAATAAATGCTCCTGGACTGAATTGAATACTTTTCACTTTGCTTTTCACTGTGCAGACTACACATTTGAAGTACTACGTTTTGTCCCAGGTAGTCCACATTACGGGGGTTAATGTCAATCTGGGGCACAGGACAGGCTAGGATGATAAAGATCCAGAAACATCAACTGTAGATGACAGAACTCAGAATGTTTTGTATGAAAAATTAAAGCCTTCGAATTCTCAGACTAATTTCAGTTCCTTTTTTGAGGGGGGCAGTATTTGTATGTCACTGGTCTGGACCCAAGTTTTTGAATCTTTTTTTTTTTAAGATTTTTTTCAAGTTTATTTATTTGTTTTGAGAGAGAGAGAGAGAGAGAGAGAGAGAGAAAATCCCAAGTAGGCTCCGCACTGTCAGCGCAGAGCCCAGTGTGGATTTGAACTCACAAACCATGAGATCATGACCTGAGCCATAACCAAGAGTTAGAAGCTCAACTGACTGAGCCACCCAGGTGCCTCTCTAATCTTTTTATGAAAGGTTTAGATTAGGCAATGTTTTAGGTCCCTTTGAGATCGACTGATATGTTAGCTTTTCCTGCGGAAGAGGGAGTAGACACCCAGAGCACAGAGACTTGACGGCATTGGAGGAGACTATTTTCAGTCCCACAAGGGGAAGGACTTGGTGGGAACTACCAGGTTATGTGAGAACAGAAGGGGCTGCCTGGTGAGCCAGGAAGCTACCTCTCCGGAAACACACGTCTCGGCACCGTGTTTTAGGGCAACACATGGACTTCCACATCTACTGATCATTATCATTAGCAAAAGCTACGCTCCATGCTGGGAGTGTGGTCAGTTCATTTTAAGCGACTTGGTTTTATCCACCTGCCAAGTGATTTTGAATATTTTCACCAACATTCTTACCCAAAGATTAGATTACTCTTTATACTCCAATATGGGGTGTTTCAAATGTGGTTGAATTTTAATTGTATTGCAGGCCAATCTGTTATTTAGTGGAAAGAGATGATTGTGAGGAATATGTTTTCATAGGGAAGGCGTGAGTGTATAGTCAAAAGAGCACAGTTGGGGGTATGTTCTACATGACTGATTTCCTGGCTGCTGAAATTTCCACCTCCGCCTGTAAAACGGGGAAAGAACCACTGTCCCAGATCTCTATTCTAGGTGCCATGTCACATTTTTATATCATTTCTGTATTCTGATATTTTTTTAACGTTTATTCAATTTTGAGAGACAGGGAGAGACAGAGCATGAGTGGGGGAGGGGCAGAGAGAGAAGGAGACACAGAATCCGAAGCAGGCTCTGGGCTCTGAGCTGTCAGCACAGAGCCCAACACAGGGCTTAAACCCACAAACCACGAAATCGTGACCTGAGCTAAAGTTGGATGCTCAACTGACTGAGCCACCCAGGCAACCCTCTGTATTTTAAATTTTATATCCTGTACCTTGTTCCATGTGGTTAGTAATTATTTGAAAATATAATTTGTAGGGGCACCTGGGTGGCTGAGTTGGTTAAGTGTCCGACTTGAGCTCAGGTCATGATGTCGTGGTTCGCAAGTTTGAGCCCCACATCAGGATCTCTGCCATCAACGTGGAGCCAGCTTCAGATCCTCTGTCTCCCTCTCTCTCTGCCCCTCACCCACTTGTGCTGTCTCTCTCTCTTTCTCTCTCAAAAATAAATAAATATTAAACATTTTTTTAAATAAAGGAAATATAACTTGAAAAGACTCCAACATATTGTATAGATATTCATGGCTATTTCATCATTGCCTTACTGGTGTGGGATTATGTTGTTTACACAGACATTACACTTTTATAAATACTGTAATAAACATCTTTGTGTATTTTAAAAGTATTTCCTTCAAGTAGGTTTCCCAAAGCACAATTTCTGCCTCTTTTCTAAGTCTCTTGATGCGTTTTGTCAGATTGCTTCCAGAAAGTGTGTAGTGATGTATATATTCTGGGCACTAGTCGGTGATGGTGCCCGTCTCAGCAAGGATCCGTCAACACCAAGAAGACAGAAAAAAAAATATTGGCCAATTACATGGGCAAAAGAGGTGTCATTATTGTGTAACTAATATTTATTTAATTACTGAGCATTTTTTAAAACTTTAATTGGTAGTCATTCAAATTTCCTTTTCTGTGAATTATATGGTGGTGCCCTTGACCCCTTTTATGCTGGGTACATCTGCTTTTTTTCTTGTTGAGTCATACAATTCTTCCCCCAAGAGAAATAACAGCCTGTATGGTTCAATATAATCATCACCACCTTCTGAAAAGAGCTACAAATACCCCCATCACTTCCATGTACCAAAGTCCCCATACTTCCCCCGCCTTCCCTCTAAACAGTGGCCAAACAACTGTTAACCTCCACCTCCATCGATCCAAGGCTTCCCAAAAGATTAGGAAGGATTTCTATCCCTATCGTCAAGTGCAGGTCTAGAAAAACAATCAGCCTTATAGATCCAGACACAAAGCCCAAATCAGTTGATTAACTGATTCATCATAATATCCTGACTTAGCGTGGATTTTCAATGAACACTTAAAATATATATGTCTATATACAACTGTAATACATAAACGTATGCACACATATATATGTAAGTTCTGTTTTCACTGACTGTTTCTTAGGAGTCAATATCAACAAACAGAATGGCTAATTTAGGACGGTCATGTCCTCAGCAGTTGAGAATTTATGAAGGCACCGAGAACACACCATGGGCCCAGCCATGGTCATGTTGACTGATGGTATAAAAGGCCAAGTTTGGATGACTGGGAGAGGCAAGCAGATCACAGTATGGGTGGGAGAAAGAGAAAGAAAATGGGAGAAAGCAAGAAGAAAATGGACGTATATCGCAGTAAACTATCCTACTTTGGCCCCATACTACCTTCTAAATCGCAATGGGACCCTCTCCTCTGCCTCTTCCATCCAAGAGCACTCATGAGAGGTACTGCTTCCACCTGCCTGGACCCCTCTCTCCATCTCCCTGTTCCTAGAAACCTGATGGTCTAGCCGGAAATCACTTCTAAGCAAACAACTTCTATTGTAATTTAGTAAGTTCTTGCCCAGATGAGAACAGAAAGAAGACAGTGGTACCTGCTACTTTAGCAAAGTCCTTTATGCATCCAGGGACAGCTTAGGTCTCGCCTCTCATGAAATGGAGATGCCATCTGATCAGAGGCATTATAAGGTAGGAAACAATACAGATTCCTCTTTTAAATAGGCTCGCTGCTCAAGTTTTGCAAGTTTTCAGAAAGATATCAAGTTTGGTACAGTTCTTCTTTTCTATACTGAAATTACATACTGAACACTCAGTTGAGTAATCTTTGAGATGAGCATTGCTGATGGTCAGTAGCTATTTCAGGGGTTCTGCATTCTCTTGGCATTGTTCTCTCTCTCTCTCTTTTTTATTTCAGAAGGAGGAGATAATTCTTGAATAAGCATTGCTTTGACCCAGGGGGAGGCAGGGCAAGAAGTAAAATCAAGCAACAGATCATAACTACGCGTATCGTGGTGAACATTACATTACATAATGTATGGACTTGTTGAGTCACTAGGCTGTGCGCCTGAAACCAATATAACATATATGTCAATTATACTTCAATACCAAAGAGAGTTTTTTAATGAAATCAGAATTTTCCCATGAAGGGAAACTGAGGACTGCAGGATAGCCTAATTATCCTCCAGAGCCCTAGAGGAGACTTTGATGAGTCAAGGTGGAGCACAGGGGTAGACGTCCCAAGAAGAGCCAAGAAGTGTCTTTCAGTTGTGACCATCCTGAGAGCCCCCTGATGGAACTGGGGACGCTTAGCCTGAGCAACCCTCGTACTCACCCCTGCGAGGGCAGCTCCCAGAGGCGAGAGGCCAGCCCCCTCCTCTCCTTGCTGCTGCCTCCCCAAGCCTGCACACCAGTAGCGCTGGGTAAGTACATACTGAATTGGTGAAAGCATGAAGGGAGGACCCCATTTTTGTGAGATAAATTTTATTCGAGGATAAGAAAAACTCTCTCCACAGGTGAGAGGCCGGGATTAGAAAATCCCAGAGGCCTTGGCCAACTCTGAGGCTTCTGGATGCCTTTCTGGGGACCCTCTTTCTGCCCCAAATCTCCCATGCAAGCCCCACGGGGGACTCACTGGTCCAGACACGCCCCCAGCAGTCTCACCCTCTCCCCTCTCTGCTGGGCTGGGCCCCGTCCGCAGTGAAGGCCAAGCTTCCCCGGGAGGCCATCCCTTTCTCCTTAGAAAGACTGGACTCCGGGGTCCAGGTGGTTAGAAGGGCGCTTGGTTTCCTCATCTGCAAGCGGAGGTGAGAACAACACCTACATCGAGAGGAGGGCCAGGCGAGGTGGCCCGTGAAACCCGTCTGCTTGTGGGAAGGGCCCAACCAGTCCTGACCATGATGACGGTGTGTTAAGGCAGTAGGTAATTGGGCCTCCCCGCCCCTCCTCTAAACTTGCGTGGCATTGATGGCCGACCTCAGTCATCTGGTGCTCAGCATCATTGGAAGAAAAATAAGCACCCTGCCCTCCCCACTTCTCCCCTTTACTCTCTGGTTTGGAGCCATTTGAGAAATTAAGGGGCTACACATGACCCTGTTTGCTAAACTGTAGAAACTATGCTAAACTATGGAGACAAAGGCCACACCAAGGGCCAGGAGCAGCTCTCTTTCCTAGGGAAAGAGGACAGAACTGAACCAAGCCCTCCCCGCAAAACTTCCCAAGTTCAAAAGTCACTGCACCTCCAGCAGCAGGGAGGATGGAAGCCGGGTGTAGACACTGAGTGTCCTTCCTGAGAAGGAGGGTGGTGAGCAGGGACGGGGCTGGGCCTTCCATCCAGTAAGTGGTCACCCACCCCTCAGTTTTCACCCCTCACTGTGGAGTTAGAATTCTCCCGGAGTGATTTAAGCAACCGAAGAACTTCATTACCTTGTAGAACGAGCCAGCTGTTGGCAAAGGCGGTAGCGGGAAGTCAACACGGAGAGGTCTAAAAAGGTGATGGATCTGGGGCAGAAAACAGCAGTTTTTAGCACATTGGAGGGGAATGTGGAATTTGGCAAAGGCTTGGATCTTCCAGGGAGGGACCCCCAGCAGGCTCCATGTGCAAGCAATGAACCATGGGAGCCCTTCCTGGGTGCTCGGATCAAGGCAACGTTTTCCTATTGATTGAGAGATTAGGCTTTAGAGAAAGTTACAATGGGGGCCACTTTATGTGAGGATAAACACAACCACCTATGACTCTTTTATTTTTAATTTTTTTAATGTTTATTTATTTTTGATACAGAGAGAGACAGAGCATGAGCAGGGGAGGGACAGAGAGAGGGAGACACAGAATCAGAAGCAGAATCCAGGCTCCGAGCTGTCAGCACAGAGCCCGACGCGGGGCTCAAACCCATGAACCGTGAGATCATGGCCTGAGCCGAGGTCAGACGCTCGACCGACCGAGCTACCCAGGCGCCCCACACCACCTATGATTCTTGAAGAAAACAGGACTTGGGATCCTGTGTGGGCTCTGGAAGAGCACATGTTGACTCTGGGAGATCTTGGTCAGATTCTTCACAAGTCAAGGATTCTCCTGGGGTTGTTTTGGTGTCAGGAACCTCAGGTCCTTCGGGTTGCAGCCCCTCATTGCCCGTCTGTTGGTTAAATGAACTAATCCGTCCCAATGTGTAAGATGTTTCTTATGACCCAGCATCAGCTTGAGAGCTGGGCCAGGTCTGACACCTAGATCCTCCAGGGTGGCTCTCATTTGAGAGAAAAAAAACAAACAAAGAAAACATTGCTCAAGCCCAGGATTCCTTTTTTTTTTTTTTTTTAATTTATTTCTGAGAGAGAGAGAGACAGTGTGAGCAGGGGAGGGCCAGAGAGAAAGGGAGATACAGAATCTGAAGCAGGATCCAGGCTCTGAGCTGGCAGTCAGCACAGAGCCCGACGCGGGGCTCGAACCCACAAACCGTGAGATCATGACCTGAGCCGAAGTCGGACACCCAACCGACTGAGCCACCCAGGCGCCCCATCAAGCCCAGGATTCCTTAGAACTCTGGGAGATGCCGGTCTGAGGACTGCAGTTGCAAACTGCTTTCTGGCCTCTTCTATCATTTTGACGGGATTTCTCCAAGTAGCCCGCGAGGTCAGCAGGGATGCTCACATCGTTGACGAGAAAGTGGAGAGTCAGCAAGGGACTTGGCAAAAGCCACAGAGAGGGTGAAGGGCAGAGCTGGGCTCTACCACTGAGTGTAGACTATCCGCTGAATCCTCTTTTCTCCTGCCCTATCACACCAGCTGAAGGACCCCCGTGCCTGCTGAGCCTCAGCTGCTGATGAGGACCCCCTTGTGACCAAATGTACAGGCAGAGTCCACAGAGGGTTCCCTGAGGTCCAGAGGGGCTTGCTCAGTCTTGGCTCTTCTCAGGAGCAGCAGGAGATTCGGGGTGCTTCTTCCAGGCTCCTCGAGGCGCTAAACCCACAGGAAAACCTGACCCCCAACGCCAATAGCCTGTGATCTTCCAGCTTCTCAGTGTCACGTACGCAAACGCAGATGTGCTTCAGGGAGAAAACAACAATAGCAACAAACCACACGAAACAGAAGGCAGCTTAGGGGCATCGGCAGGAGAAACAAACACAGAACCTTCAGAAGCTCCGGGAGGGGGATGGGGCAGAATGTTCTTGCAGGAGAGCTCAGGTTAGCCTCAGCCTTGAGCGTGTGAAAGGAAGCGATTGCAGAACAGCAGAGTGTCTGAGCTTCCTTGAGTTTCACCCGTCTTCCGGTCACCAGCTCCTGGGCACCGGGTCTCCGGGCCCAACTAGGGCACAGAGACTGAGCTCCGACCACACACCTCTGCTCACCGGCATTTTCCCAGGGGGAGTCGTGGAAGGGCTTCTGTAGCCGGCACGTCCTGCCTCTGGCTCGCCGGGGCTCCAGGGTATTTCTGGGGTCCCTCCATCATCTGCACACTGCCCTTCTGTGAGGCTCAAATGGGGCGCCTGGCGGGCTCAGTCGGTGAAACGTCCGACTTCAGCTCAGGTCATGATCTCCCAGTTGTGGGTTTGAGCCCCACGTCAGGCTCTGTGCTGACAGCTCAGAGCCTGGAGCTGCTTCAGATTCTGTCTCCCTCTCTCTCTGCCCCTCCCTCACTCGTGCACTGTCTCTCTCAAAAATAAATAAACATTAAAAAAATTGGGCAAGAGAAACATGAGGTAGAAGGGATGGCAGATAACAGATCTTTAAGTTCATTTCTTCTTTCTCCAAATAGTAACCAAAAATGTTTCTCCTCTTCGAGAAAAGTTTGTTCCTGTTTTATTTACAACTCAGATGACCCCCAGTGGCGAGAAGGACACCCAGAGGTGTGACATCCGTGAGGATAGGCCTGGGAGTTCATTGTCACAGAGCAAGATTAATCTGGATACGTTAGTCTGCTGTTTTTAAGTTTAGTTATTTATTTTGAGAGAGAGAGCGCAAGTGCAGGAGGGGCAGAGAGAGAGAGTCCTGAGCAGGTTCTGCACTGTCAGCGCAGAACCCAACACGGGGCTCGAACTCACAAACCATGAAATCATGATCTGAGCCAAAACCAAGAGCCGGAGGCTTAACCGACTGAGCCTCCCAGGAGCCCCAATTCTGAAGGCTTTTTTAACACGTCAAGCCTCTGTTGGTCTCGCACAGCACGAATCCTGAATGAATTACAAAACGTGCCTAAGTCTCTGCTGTGGAAAAGACCAAAGAGCCAGTGCGGGGCTGGAGGGAGGGCCCGTCAGTCCCCATCACGAGGGGACAGAAAGGACTTGGACAGCGCCCAGGAGTGGCAGGGGGTGGGGGCTGCCGTGCACGGTGGGGAAGTTGCAGGAGGAGAGGAGAGTTAGAGAAATGACTGTTTAATGATCAAAACAGCTTTTCCTGAGCACTTTTCTCACCCCAGGGCCTCTGCTAAGGGCTTTCCGTGCTTCGTGCGGAACAAACCTCTCTCTGTGAGTCTGTGAGGTGAGTGCGCTTGTTTTTATCATTTCTCAGAGGAGGAACGGAGCGAGTTGTTTAAGCAATGAGCCCAAGACCACAGCACCAGAACAAGGCGGAGCTGGGCGCGGATCCCTTCCACCTGATCCTGGCCGCCCAGAGGTCTGGGTGTGGCTCCCCGCTGGGCTGGGGGGCCCCTGGTCCCTCTCCAGCCTGAGCCCCAGCAGGACACC